CGATTACGGAGTATAAAATAATTTTATGGTTGGGGGTGACCACAACATGAAAAACTGTATTAAAGGGTCACAGCATTTGGAAGGTTGAGAGCCACTGAGCCAGAGCATCCACACCACCCAGGGGACTGTTAGAAATGCAAATTTTCTTTTTTTTTTTCTTTCTGATTTTTTGAGACAGGGTTTCTCTGTGTAGCTTTGTGCCTTTCCTGGAACTCACTTGGTAGCCCAGACTGGCCTCGAACTCACAGAGATCCGCCTGCCTCTGCCTCCCGAGTGCTGGGATTAAAGGCGTGCGCTACCACCGCCTGGCGAAATGCAAATTTTCTAAGCCAGCCTTGGTGGTTGGCTAATGGCAATCTGAAGGTTGAGGTAGGAGGATCACAAAATCATGGCTGCAGGGAGAGTTCAGGGCTAGTTGGACAATATGAGGTTCTGTCTCCAAATAGAGGACTGGGAGACAGCTCATGGTAGCCTACTTGCCTAGCATGTGTGAGACCCTGGGTTCAATCCCCCGTACCGCTACAAAACAAAGTAAACAATACAAAACAAAAAACAAAAGGAAAGGTAAGACAGCTCTCAGACATGCTCTTTAGAAACTATGCCACTTAAAGGTGAAGCAAAATATTCCCACCTTCAGGCAGTCCCAACGCTTACTAAAGTTTGAAAATCACTTGAGAGTGTGTTTTCACTCTTATATCCAATGTGATATGAGAGATGGTGAAAGGAAAAAAAAAGGTCTCTGTGTGTTATAATGACCTAAAAGTTAAAGTTCCAGTAGATTGTGTTCTGTCAGGTTTTCTTTAAAACAGTAAACAGGTTGGAAGCAGAATTGTTTCCTGTTACTTATCAAAGACAAACACAAGGGTGCGGCTAAGGCTGGACCTGAGATAAGCTTTCTGGTGTCTACACCGAGATATGGATATGGCCTTTTAACCATTTTCTTCATTTTCTGTTCCTTCTACACTTGATGGTAGAGGTTATAAACGAACGGTTGCTGCACGACACAGTGCTGAATGACCCAACACCCTATTTTGTCCATGCTATTATTCCTCATTCAATGGATCCAATTTTTTATTTAAAGCCACGGCCATTTGCCTGTCTTTGTAACTATGGCAATTAAGCCTAATAACTAGGCTCCTTAGTACACTGCTGCGTATCAGTGGTAACCCTGAGGCTCTGTGCACCAGCTCATTCCCATAACCAGGCATCATCAGTAGGAAGAGCTTTGTCAAGCTCTTTCCTCACATACCTTAACTGTATCTTTTTATCATTCGCTTTGTGCAACAGTTATTAATGAGTAGGTGCATTCAGTCTGATGAGTCTTTGGCATCACTGAACATTCCCAAGCCTCTCATGTGAGATGCATCAATAGGCACAAATGTACCCTCTGATGACCACCCATTTTACATTTTGTCTGCCACTTGCTTTTGAGAAGAAACCCATTTATTTGTATGAACTACCAAGGATTCCATATGCAGAGGGCATTCCTTCAGGCAGGCTCTGACGCTTAATGACCACGGGCTGGTAGAATTGCATGAATTAAATATGTAATAAATACTTGATGCCAACACAAAAATTGCTAAAAACAAAGAGGTATTTGCTGAAATGAGACTTACTATATGTTGAGTTTTCTCTGTGCAAGGGAATTAACTAAAATTATGATTGCAAAAAAACAAAACAAAACAAAAACCCATTCAGGTTCCCATTTCATAGACACCAAAATAATTCCCACAAATATTCCAAAATGGACACAAGCATTGGAGGGATGGAGAACCTGATATTATGAGAAGACTCCAAGGGAACTGAATGCTTGGCATCTGAGAAAAAGGATGCCAGCATGTCTGAACTCATGACCTGCCTTTCTTCCTCCTCCTTCCCTCCCTTCCATCTGTGTGTGGTATATGTATGTGTGTGTGTGCAGGTGCACATGCCCACGTGTGAGCACATGGTGGTCAGAGATCATTAAGTGTCTTCTATCCTCTTCACCTTAGTTTTTGAGACAAGTTCTCTTACTGAACCCAGAACTATGCATTTTTGGCTAGACTGGCTGGCCAGTGAGCCTCTGGGACCAGCCTGGTTGTCCCCATTCCCCGCTGGGTTACAAACATGTCTCTGGTCCTTGCTTCTGTGCGGGTCCTGAGGGTCTGAACGCAGGTCTTTATGCTCTTATGGCAAACATTTTACCCACTGAGTAATCTCCCCTAGCTGACTGCTTTATTCAAAGTAATATCCTCTTTATCTGACCTGTTTGTCAAACCACACCGGTGAGTTGTCTGTGGAAGCATACAGCTGGCTTGGGGGACACATAAGACGCTATGGTTAGGAATAATGCAGAGCTCAGGTTCTACAGGTTTGTACTGAACACACAGCAAGGTACAAAGGTACCTTGGGAGAGGTACCAAGAAGGTTGCTGTGCTTCCTTGGTAACAAGTATTCTTTAGAATGTCAACACAAGAAGAGGTGGATTGTTAAAAGTTTGCACAAACCAATAGAAACTCCAAGGCATGCTATGTTAGGATATTTGAGATTAGGAGCACTGATTTCTATGGAAAACAATAGACAGGATTATCAGAAAACAGGGGAAGATATTTCATTGCACAGAAATTTTAATAGAAGAAAATCATACCACACAGTAAGGAAACAGTGAGGAAAGCACCATGCACACCAAGGAATGAAACATTATGCTAAATCCTTTACATCATATGCCTCAGATTGTCTTAGTACTTTTCGATTACTATGAAAAGACACCATGACCAAGGCAACTTATAGAAAAAAGTTTATTTTGTGCTTACAGTTTCAGAGGGTTAGAGTCCATGACCATCATGGTGGGTAATAGGCAGACATGCATGTCACTGAGGCAGAAGCTAAGAGTGTACATTTTGATCTACACGTGTGATGTAGAGAAAGAGACTGGGGAGTTTGTGGGCCTCTGAAACCTCAAAGTTCGTCCATCCCTACTGACACATTTTCTCCTCTAACAAGGCCACACCTCTTAATCCTTCCCAAACAGTTCCACCAAGTGGCAACCAAATATTTAAATATATTAGTCTATGGTAGTCATTCTCACTCAAACTACCACATTCTTCTCCTTGGCCCCCATAGGCTTGTGGCCATATCATAATGCAAAATGTGTTTAGTGCAGCTTAAGTGATTTGTGTATACTTTTATATGATTGATAGACTTTGTTTTTAACCACTAGTAACTTTTTATGTGATCCAATCATTTGCTGTCAAGCTGCATTTACTTATTTAAAAGAAAAATATTTTGATAGATGATCTTACTATGTAGCTCAGGCTGGCTCTGGAATTTCTATCCTTCTACTTTAGTCCCCTGGGTGCTGGGATTATAGGAGCTAAAGCTGCTTCTAAAATGCCACTGGTAGCTCTTTGGTCTTGCCTTTTACCAACTTTAGCAGCTGTGTGCCCATTAGGCACTCGCTGTACTAGTTAGATACAGTTACTTAAACAGCCATAGAAAATGAGAACATTAGATGACTTTTGGCCTCTCCTCCTATTGAGTTTGCCTTTACTGTACAGGATGGTGAAACCTGTATTTGATTATTTTCTTCCTACTGTGTGCCATAAATGACACACACAGCCCTGAAATAGGACTTCATTGCTTTTCCTGGAGAAAACAATATCACGAATTTTACTGAATGCTCAATATTCTTGACATTTTTTACTGAGTTTGCCTGAGACAGCCACTATGGAAATCAGTGTGGCAGTTCCTCAGGAAGATGGGAATTGATCTGCCTCAGATCTATCTATGCCACTCTTGGGGATGTGCCCAAGGGATGCTTTATCCTATCACATGGACACTTTCTCTACCATGTTCATTGCTGCTCAGGCGACCAAGAACCAGAGACTAGACAGCCCAGGAACCCAGGGTAAATCCAAATACTAATGGTCTAAAAAATAAATCCCCGCCCTCGCAAATCCCTGTAGTGATACAACAACTCTACTGATATTCTGCTGCATTCATAGATCAATTTCTTGTTCAGCCATCATCAAAGATGCTTCCTCCTACAGCAGATGGGAATAACTAGAGACCCACTGCCAGACATTATGTGGAGAGTAAGAGACTTTGGAACACTCAGCTCTAAATGGGATGTCTCCATCAAATCCTTCCCCCTCAGAGCTCAGAGAACCCTGCAGAAGGGGAGGCAGAGGGGATGGAAAATACCAAGAAAACAGGGCCTTCTCAATCAACATGAGCAAAGCCCATATGAACTCACAGACTGAAGCAGCATGCACAGGTCTGCACCAGCTCCTCTGTGCACATACTATGGCTTCCAGTTTAGTGTTTTTATGGAATTCCTGAGTGTGAGAACAAGTGGGTGTCTGATTTTTGTTCCTTTTCTTGGGATCTTTTCCTTCTGTTGGTTTTTCCTATCTAATGTCGATGGATAGCTTTTGTTTTATATTAATATTAACTCTTAGAAGCCTGTTCTTTTCTAATGAGAGACAGAAAGGAAGTGAATCTGGATGGGAGGGGAGAGAAGAGGAGGAACTGGGAGGAGTAGAGGGAGGGGAAATCATAATCAGGATATATATGTGAGAAAAGAATCTATTTTCAATAAAAGGAAAAAAAAAGAAAAGCAAAGGTCCCAGTATAAAAGACAAGTAGAGTGGAGAAGTGTGCCTGCCTTCTCTTCTGCCCCACTGCTGTGCTGGGCATTTTATCCCCCTTTTATTGTTAATTTTCAGCACACACCTTCTGGTATTTTTCATTAAATTTCTTTATTTGTGTGCATATGTGTGTGTGTGAAGACACACATGCCATGGTATATGTGTGGAGGTCAGAGGACAACTTTCAGGATTCTGTTCTCTTCTTCTGCCATGTGGGCCCTGGGGATTGAACCGGCATCGTTAGGCTTGGCAGCAAATGCCTTAACCCGCCAAGCCACCCCTCCAGCTGAAGTCTCTCTTTTAACACCATCATCACTATCAATCCACATACTTTAGACAATAATTTACTCACAAAGGAAAGACACCACCAACTTTATTAATAACCAACATTTTTATTAGAGCAGTTACAGTTGTGGAAACTGTACATTATACATTTTGGTTTCAAGGATTATAAATTAAGGAACTCACTGGTAGGGAGTTCTTTTTCACAGCAAGAAACTTGAAATAAACAAAGTCATGTTTTATTAAGTACATTGGCAGACTTCATGTGCTGTCCAAAATGTAGAGTACAGTATAACAACCTATTAGAAAGATCCTTCATGGAAAATACAGCTGTGCACATTTTAGAAAAATACCCACAATTTGAGCTTTGTTTTAAAAAAGCTTATAAATCATATATATATTTATAAATGGAGCCAACATGCTCACTTTATAAACATCCTTTAGTCCTCTGTTGCCCATTCTTTTCAAAGCATTCATTACACATTTAAATAAACACTTAATAAGATTAAATATTCTATTTTCTTTAAAAAAAAAATCCGCCTTCCCAGCATACGGAGCTACAGGGGTAGGAAGGGGTGGGGATAATGTGGAGACTGACATAGGGACTCAGTTTGTTCTTGAGTAAAAATGGACTTTCTAAATTTAAAAGTCAAAGCAAAATGTAAAAAATAAATATACAAGTTGTAATTTTATTTTCACCTGCTCTCTTTCTGCCTTCTTTAACCCGTCTTGGTCACACCCAGGAATTACTCTATTGCACTTGTGCAAAAAAATCGCCACTGGGTCACTACCCTGCAAGTGACGAAGCATGCAGCCCACACCTGTGCTGACCTGGAGTTACACACACCGTCTCTTCCACACTAAAGAGGCAGCTGGGCGCGGAGAGACTCGGCTGACACCATGGCATCATGGCTGACACCATGACATCATGGCTGACACCATGACATCATGGCTAACATCCATGTTAGATGAAGAGATCCCCCTCCATAAGGTAACACCCTTGAGAGACTCAGACATACCTTTTTCCTCCCCTGATTTCTTTTTAAATAATTATTTTTTATAAAGATCATATAGTTTCTCTAGGTAAGCATGCTTCTGAGTAAATTATATAATAGAAAAAAATCAATGTCAGAACAAAACAGGACAGCAAAAGACAAATATTTAAAACAAAACCGTCTATGTCTTTTAAAGTTTAAAAGAAGATTACAAAACAACTTTGAAAAGTGTGGAGGGCAGAGAATCGAGGAGCAGCGACTTAAGGAAGCTTCTATCTACCTGAATGCATTCAACCAAAATTTGAGGGTGGGGAGGGGCAGGGCGGAGAAAGAGAAGGGTGGCTATTAATAGGCTCTTGCTTAACTTTCATAGGAATTAACATAGCCACTGACAACATTTTATTTGGTTGTAACGTACGTCAGCAATGAAACCGAACCCTTAACCACTGATGACTGCAATCCATGCAACGTTTTGACTACACTCCTTAGTATCCTGTTGTCTTTCAGCTTTTAAAATTAAGCACCTCCTGAGTGCATCCACAACTCACCTCAGTGATGTTAAAAATATTTAAAATTAAATTATGTCTTTGGAAGGTATAGTACCTTCAGATGACTACATTTTTAATAAATAGCCTTTGATGGGTTTAGAAAGAATAAACAACATGAAAATGATGTATTGCTATTAAAATAAACACTATGTTTCTCCTTTTTAACTAGTCTTTTGTTGCTGCTTTTCCTTGAGATGCAACCTGTGTGTTTTCATCCAGCCAGGGCTGCAGGTGGAAGATGATTGTGCATCACATTTAAATAAACAGCGAAAATGAGCAGGGTCGTGCACAAGCAAAGGAAACGTTCCCTCCCAGAACATTCCAGGAGATGTCACAGCAGCAGGTCACCGCAGAAGACTACTGAGTGACGCTGCTACCTACTTCTTCTAATGAGACAGGAGTGAAGGCTGAAACCGTGCCCACCGCAACACAATCCTCAGACGGCATTCCTTGGGCGGTCTTCTCTCCCCAGCTCCCTACTAAAAACGTCAGACGGTAAAATAGTAAGGCAGCTGTTGACTTCCATCAAAAAAAAAAAAAAATTGCAGGTCCATACATTTCCAGTTTAGTCACACTCTGCTAGGACAGATGGAGTAGCCAATGCCAAGAACTTCGCCGGATGGGGCTGCTTCAGCAGATTTTAAAAAAGAATCGTTATTAAGCTTTGCTCTCCAACAGGGCTGTGTGCTTCAGCTCCCAGAGGACCCCAAAAGACACAAAGAACTCCTGGGGGACCTGAACAGTTCCTCTGGCTGAATTTTCCAAGTTTCATCTCTCTCGTGATCCCATCCCAATTCCAAGCCTCCTTGCCTGAGTCTGACTGGGGTGTGCCGTTTAAAGGGCTGAGGACACCATGGCAGAAGTGTGGGCTAACTCCACTAGTTGTCATGATTTCACTGAGGGGTCAAAACAGGTATAGCATTAAATAATCATACTGAGTCAGGCACAGCCAACGTTAAAGTGAAAGCAATGCCATTGATTAAAAAAAAATTGTAAATCGGAATCGGAGGAAATAATGTTACTGTAATTTTGTATAGACATTAAGGCTACGCTTACCTTTCCTCATTCCAATCAAGTCAGAAAGTGAACAAAAAGAATGGCCAACCCGATATTCAACAGCATGACCAGGACAATCATGACCGAATTAGGGCCCTGAAGGAGAAAAAGAGAACAAAACAAGCACAATGTTTCCATGTCAGTAGGGGCTGCTTTACACAAATCATCCCCAGAACCAATGACCAGAAATACAAGCTGACACACATGGCCGAAGGAACTAAGCCACGAGACATAACAGCCCTTCCAAAGGTGTGAGCTAAAAACTACTGCTACGTTTGGATGGAGTCACTGTTCAGCTTCCACTTAAAATTCACCTAGATTTGAATTAAGTTAAAAAATGTTTTCAAGCTGGGCATGGTGGCCCACACCTTTAATCTGAGTGCTCTGGAGGCAGAGGCAGGAAGAGGTCTGTGAGTTCGAAGTCAGTCTGGTCTACACAGTGAGTTCTAGACTAGCAAGGCTACATAATGAGACCCCATCTCAGAAATGTCTTTCTCTGCAATAGCTTACTGTTTTCACTCACGCAACTGGTGGCCTGATTTGGGAAAGGTCACTGGAAAGGAGTTGGGAGCTCGTGGGACTCAGACGCATAGCTGTCCTTAGGGTGTGACAGATGCAGAAGAGAAGGGCAGTCCCTCATCAAGGCAGTTGGAAAATAAGAATAAAATTGGAAGAATTTATTCCTCCAAGGAAAAGTTCAGGAAAAGACTCAGTGAGGTGTTTTCACTTTTATAGGTCTTGTGTATCCTGGACTGGCCTTGAATTGAGGATCCTCCTACTGTGCTGGGATATAGGTGTATATCACCATACCTGGTTTATGAGGTGCTGGGGACTGAACCCACAACTTTGTACATGCTAGGGAAATACTCTACCAAATGAGGTACAGGCTCAGCCCTCAGTGAGGCTTTCTTAACTCTTGCTTTTTTTCAGGGTCTCCTTCTGGGCCCTCCTCCTCCCTCCTTTAAAAACCACAAATGGGAAGTTGAATACTTCAACCTCCAGAATTTATTTTTCCAGGTCTGACTTTTTGTTTTTAGACTGAAAATCAAACCACTGTAGAATCAAATATATTTAACCTAACAGTAAAATCCTATCTCTGTAAATATTGCTAGAATAAGTACCAGCCAACCCAAGGCCACCAAGCATCTATTTGTTTAAATGAAGTTTGTATGATCTAGCTATTCAGGTCTGGTGGTACCTGAAGAATCTGCCTTTATCAGAAGTATAAGATCTTGGTATTTTTATTACTATTATTAGTAAAATAGCATTAATTCTTATATAGTAGTGTTCTAGACTGCTTTTATGTTGTAGTTAAATTAACCAGCTTTTGAAAAATTTATTTTTATGTGTATGACTATTTTGCTTGAATGTATGTATGTGCTTTTGGGGGTCTCTGTAAACACCATGACCTACAGGTGTTGATTTGTGAGAGGCAAAAAGGTAGTCTGGTGCAATATGATTCAGTAGCTGTTGTTGGTTCAAACTTTGAGAGTCTGACCTTGAGTAGTTTATTTTAGGACTATTTAAACAGCACAATTTGGAAAAAAGTTTCCTGGTGCTAATTAACTCAATCTCATATGCACAACAAAGCTTAAGACTTAACCACATTGAAACTCTTTGTACAACCGATGTTTTCCATAAAAGATGAGTTCAACAGATTAACTGAGAAAAAAAGACCCAAGATAAGGGTCTGGGGGAGGATCCAGTGTGGTCTCAGCCACACAAGATAGTGCAAAGGTAACCAGGCTGTCAGCCACATCCACTCTCAGCCTCCTGGACAGAAAACAGGTTATACATCTCTCCATTTAAGGAGACCACCTTGTGTGTTTAACATTCCTGAGTCCCCCAGTGCTTATCTGTGACTATAAGGACCATTGTGTCACCTACATGTGTCCATGTGTGTGCTTGGTCTGTAGATACCAGAAGGGGGCACTGGATCGACTGGTGTTACAAGTGGTTCTGCACTTCTATGTGGGCGCTAATACCCGAACCTGGGTGCTCTGCAAGAGCAGCATGTGCTCTTAACTGCTGAGCCATCTCTCTAGTCAACATTAATGGTTCTAATTAAGTTTACACAAAAGGAAGCAGTTACACTGAGTACCACACAAGTCTGTGCTGAAACAAGGTGACGGGGGGCATCCAATGTGCCTTCTCTGGTGACAGGACTGAAGAGTGAGGAAGTCTGGTCAAGTGTTCATCTTCCAGGCCGGAGCTTAGCTTAGGTCACCTACCACTGACTGAAGGACGTCCCTGCCCTGTGTTCACGGGCCACGGCTCTCTGGTGGAGGTCAGGGTGCTCTGTGTGTTCTCTGTCGTAACACTTGTCACATTTTATTGCCATCTGTTCTTACACTGTCACCTTCCCACCTAGACTCAGCTCCACAGTCTCAAGGGCTTTGGCTTTGTCCTCCCTGTGTCCCCAGTGCCTGACTCTTGGGGTGTCCAGTTCCTCCACGCAGTCAGTGCTGAAGGAGAAGCCTCTCATGTCTAGCACTTCTCTAGGTGCTGGTGGTCTGGATGCTGAACAAAACAGGTGACGTCACTGCATTGAAAAACACATGAACTGTCGGGAAAGCGGGGTGTGGGGACTGAAGACAGGGCCTTCTGGGGGAGGGACCACGAGAAGAAGCCGTCCCCCACTTCTTAAGCCCCAAAGCAGATGGAAGAAAAAACAGGTTTTAAATGCCAGGCAATAGACTAAGCATCTCTAAGTGGATTATCACTTAGTTTTATTTATCCTTCACACGAGATTATTAGTTCCATTCTAGAGGGCTCCAGGAGGATAAGTGCATTAGAATATTTACAGACTATTTACAAATCAAGGTTCTTTCGAGCCAGAATTAAATGCCAGCCTGTTCACTTGGGTGCTTTGGGCTCTGTTCTCTAATGCGGCTAAAGCTCAAACCTTAGTTTAAAAACCACTTCTAATGAAGTTCTCCAAGGCAACATTTTCATCTATCACCTGTAATTCCCAGAGAAACAAAATCTTCCTAACTTCCGGCTACTCAATTAATAGGTGAGCCGGGCATGATGGTTCGTGCTTGCAATCCTCGCCGTCTGCAGGCCGGCACAGGAGAAACGCCATCAGTTCAAGGCTAGGCTGCGCTACAGAGTGAGGCTCGCTGCAATAAATGGTGAGTTCTACTCTATGCAACTGTTCAACCAGGGCAAGCTTACGACATAGAAACTCTTAGAGTTCAAAATTAGAGAACATTTCTCACTATCCCATCTGAGCATAAAGAGTATGGAAATGTTAGGGCTGCTGCATGCTTTGATTAGACTGTATTCTCAAGTGTGAAGACGATTTGAAGTTGCTTCAATTTCAGACTCATAGATTTAATTCCTTTCACAGATAATGGGTGCACGAAGCATGGAACAAAACTGTATGGAGTTCAGGGTCTGAAGAGGACCCAGGACAAAGAGAATCACAGGGGGTCTTTTGAAACCGACATCAAAAACTGATGCCAGGGCTGCGTGTGTAATGCCGTGGCAGAATACCTACCTAGCATGTAGGAAGGCCTTGGGCTCAGTCCCAGTAAAAGGAAAAACAAAACAAAACAAATGTAAGCTCTGTGTGAATCTAACTCTCATTCCATAAACCCTGGTAAGGTGCTGTCTGTGAGAGTTTATGTGAACTCTTTTGACCTGATTCGTATTCTGGGTTTGTAGATTGTCTTGGGTTGAATTTAGCAACTTATTTACTCTTTCTTTGAAGGTTTGGCCCACATCTCATTGTACTTGTAATCTGGTCAATGAATAATGAATGAATGCTTTTTCCAGAATGAAAAATACATACATATGTATTTCCTACTGAACACACACATCTATTTATCTTGTATACACACTAATACACATTTTTAGCCTACCAGCGTAGCACCTTTTAGGGAGTCATTAAAAGATGACCCAGGGAAGATGAGTGTAGACCAGCATCGGGAGGCTCCAACAGCAGCCAGGTGAAAAGGAAAATCTGGGATTCTATGTTTAAGTGGCAGGTACCAAGCTGTGACTTTGGTTCTCTTCAGACACCTTCGGCAGGCCACTGGGTGAAAAAGCTTTATGGTGAAGTCCCATAAATACGACTGTGGTGGCCAGTGGTGGCTTAAAATAGCAAAATGAAGAAAAGCTTAGTCCTGTTTGTCCAGACTGACTGGGACAGGTGTGACAGGGAGCAGCAGCAGGGCAGATGCTAAGTACGGATCAGAAGAAGCCTTCAGGCCGTTAGAAAAATAAAACAGAGGGTTTCAAACTATGAGAAGATACCAGCTCAAGTTGACCCTGAAGGGGCCACCAGTTTCTCCTGGAGGGCTGTAATCCCTGCAGGAGCCTACCCCCTACCTCTTATGTTTGTTAAGTAATTAATTTCCTCTAAGTGTTCGTCTGTATCCCACAAGATTGTCTACATTTTCCAGATCCATATCCAGGGTGAACATGAAGAAATGGAATGTATTGAACCATTTATGAACTACTTATACTTCAACCAGTCTGTCATTGATAATGATAATAATAAGGTCCTTTGAGCATTTATTCTACTCAGTACTGCATTAAGAACATAACAATTTCTCCAGCTGCCCACAAGGAGTACCGGCTGATTTATTATGGGCATCCTCTGCATGCCTGTGTTTGTGTGGATATTTCTATGAATTTTAAACTATTCATTATAAGCTCTGAACTTGCACAGTGCTCTTGATTTCTCAGAAGAGTAGGCAGCACTCCACTGTTTCAATGGCCATTCACCGACTACTCTAATGGTGATGTGTCACACTTCCTAACTCCAGGGAAGAGGGCTGGCATTAGCAATGGAAGGCAGCTTCCTGCTGCTATTAGGAAGGCAGCATTTTCACATGGAGGGCCAAGTCAATCCTGCCTTCCAGGTCTGGATGACCATTCCCAGGGCAGTCTGAAGTTCAAGAGAGATGCAGGGCTGCTGAGGTCATCTCATACATATGTAGCTTGGGTTTTGATCAGTGGACCTGAGCTGGAAGTTGCTTGGCTTTCTTCAAGAACCAGCAGGTTCTATGCATTGGTAAAACCTATGCTTTTTCTAAATAAATTACAGTGGTAGTGAGTTTACCAACACACAGTACTAGTATAGGGAACAGCAGTATTTCTTTCCCCTATCACCGACTGATGGGAGCATGCTGGGCACACGCTTCACTGTGGCATTTGGGAAATTAAATGCCCTACCAGACAGGCAAAATGTGATGTTGATGGAATGGCACTGTTCAGATTTGCCCCTTCTTAACCAGGCAAATGGAATATCCAGGAAACCTTCTTCATAAATATTCATGTTGAACGTCTGAGAAGTAGTTGTTTCATGCAATGAGTCAATAGTGGTAGAATCAGAATAACAGATAATGAGCTGTATCATTGTTCAAACATTTTAAAAAACAAATGCTTACTCAATACTCAAATGTCTTATGTTGGTCTGTCTTAAAAGCCATTTATTTCCACAGAAGTTGGCTCTCAAGAAGTTATTAGTCTAGTTGGATCTGATTAATTTATATTTAGCTAATGAAAAAGTGAAGAATGAAAAAATAACCAGTATTACGTATACATATATTAGCAAAAATTAACATAAATTAATTCAAAAGATGAATGTTAATTGTTTAACCCTATGAATAAATGGAACAAAACTAAGAAACTGATGGCTAGTCTATAATCTATCTGCTTGTCCAGGATTCCACTTCAAACCTTCACATACATGTTTCTGAAACTGCTAGTACCCACAAGTGGCTGTGTCTTTACTTCCAGTGTATTTCCCAGTGGACCTGACCGCCTTGAGGCACATAGGACCAAGCTAATATATCAATTTATTTTAAATCAGTAACTTGAAAAAAAATTCTAAAAAAATTCAGATCCCATAAATTCTATAGAACTTGATAAAATCCCAGTTCCATATAGTCCTCACTGAATCAATCTCATGTCAAGGAACATGTAGTAGACATTTATCAATAACACAAATTTTACTGGTTAAAAAAAAATCTTACCTGTCCAAGACACATCAACAATGGCTAGCATCAATCAGACAGCTGAGTCTGGGAACATCCACACTCAGAGATGAGTTATAAAGTAATGACATTGTTGTAAAAAGTTCCTTATTTGGGAAGAAAAATATTCTTATTGCAGAGCCTGGTGCATTAACTAAAATACAGACTGCATGTTTATGAGAATTTACAATGGCTGCGAATGATGTTCCTTTGTATAAAAAGCCAAAGGAAGAATCAAAGTTCCTAGTTGCTAAGCAGAGAGGCGTCGGCTGTGGGTAGTGGCCATGTTTCCCTTCTAGGGGCCACTGAGTAGGTAATTAAGAACTTCACCAAGACATGCTGATAAATGTTTGCTAACCTGTGAGACCATCCTGGGCTGGCCAGGCCTTAGCTCCATCTGGACTGTCTGCAGTTGGTGGCTGAGTAGGCTCAGGATTCCTGCCCAGAGAACTCTTCCCTATGATAAGCTATAAACATACATGTTCTGCTTGACTCGAAAAACCCTGTGGACCTTTGTCAGCCCAGCTGTGGCCAAGATGGAAAACCGCCCACCCCATACCGTTCCCCGAACAAACCCAAGCGCAGGGCTCTGGCGAGACTTACTGAATTGGCTTCTTTTTCCGAAGGGCAGGAATCACTGCTTGCTGGATTCTTTGGTATAGCAAGTTCAGACTTCTTGGCTTTAGGCTCAGCTTTGCTTTCTTTGGCAACTGGTTTTGTCCCAGATTGAGAGGGACTCCACTTGTTAGGTGACGGCCTGTGTACCAATGCTGAGGAGGACTGGCTGGCTCCACTCTCATCCTCCCCGTCTTCTGGAGGATGCTGGGGCGTGTTCAGTTTCACATAGTAGCCATGATACTGAGAGTGCAGCTCCCCGTTGCTGGGGTTGGGGACATGGTGGCGGCCAGAGTACTTGGGCACGGTTGCTCCGAGTTCCTTTGAAGGAGCCTTTGACATCAAGGGCTTATTGACAATGGCTGTCACCTGCTCCTCGGTCATGCTCCTTCTCTCTTGACTGAGTCTGGCCCCTGAGCTGGGGTTCTGTTTCCTCGTGGGCTTTGGGGAGGAGGGCTGGGGAGAGTGACTCTGTTTGGGACTTGCTTCAGGGGACCTGGGGGGTGTCGTGCCTTTGCGATAAAAATGTGGGGATTCCTTTGGTGATGGTGGCTTTTCTGGTACCTTTTCTTCTGGATTTTCTTTAACGTCTACCCCCTCCTGAAATCTTTGTTTGATATAATCAGGGCCTGGAAATGAGGAACAGAAAGGAAAGGAAGGCGATAAAAAAAAAGCAAGTTGTAAAGGTTTGTAATCCAGGTGACTATCGTTTTGCTAAGGGAGACCAATGTTCCTCCTCTTAAAAGATATTTATACAGTGTGAGCACGTTTCAATATCCAAGGAAAAGATTGCTGAAAGATGCTTTCAAGATAAAACTTGTCACTATTTATATTATACTGACATCCATAAAAGACAAAAAACTTTAGACTTCTCCAATATTTCTATCATTTCTTATTGGAAGAACATGGTTGTTTGGTGTAGAGCAGAACTCATGTTGATAGAAATTCTAACCAATAAAATTTATTTACCCCAATTAGGATAATTAAAGCACAGGAAGCACGAACTTGAATAAAGAAATAATCTCATTTTCGTCTGATCAGAAGTTTAAAGAGATCTACACTGTACAGGAAAAGCCTGCTGAGAAGGTATTTTTAACCATTGCTGGAACTTTTTGGTCAGGAACAACTTCTGCCTTTAAGCTGAGCTCTTTAGAATAATGCCTGTGCAGTCCATTCACAACAGGCCCATGTTACCAGCAGTGTCCGTGACATGACGGTCATCTCTGGCTCTGTAGTCTCAGGTTCTGTATTTCAGTTATTAAAAAATATACTTCAGGAACATTTATAACAATTAAAAAAATCAATTTAAAATGAATTTATTTTTGGAAGTAGAGACTAGAGAAAGCACTCAGTAGATAAAGTGCTTGTCAGAAAAGCACGAGGACCTGGGTTAATTCAGGGGTGCTTGTGTGAACCTGCAATCCCAGCACCAGAGGGGCATGATAGACAGGGCGCTCCTGAGACTTGGCTTAGCCTAATTGGCGAGCTCCACGTCCTAGTAAAACCTTGCCCCACAAGAAGGATGGCGTCTGAAGAATGATATGATACTGTCCATTCGCCTCTACATGTGCACACACAGCCACACACTTCAAAAAAACCACCTGCTCCACTGTTTCTTTATATTGACCAGCTCATAAACTAAGAGGGTGCCTGGCATGAAGGCACAGGCTGTGAGGGCTTACCAACGCCAATGGCCTAGAGATGGGGGCAGCTAGGGAGTCAAGACAGCCCTCAGCTGGGGTGCCTTCCCTCTGGGTGTGTTAGCGCGTGGCCCTTCCCCATAATCATGTAATGTGCTACCACTCTAAATATCACGAGGTGAAGTCAAAGCCATACTCAGCAGAGTGGCCATTGTCTTGTAAATGGGCAGAAGGCGACACACTTTCAGACACCATTAAGGGAGAAGCCAGAGCCACTAGCTTGTACAGAGAGCCAACCAGCTCTTGTCAACACCAACCACTTCATTTCCCTTTTCCTTCCCGTGTCCAACCCCATCTCTCATTCCCAACTAAAGACACACAGAGGGGCTGAAGAACAATTATCCTTAACCGTGAAAACACACTTGCACATTTACACTTTTAATTGCTCTTCCATGGTAGTCTGAGTTAGCAAATTATAGTGATATGGTTGCCCTTTATTTTATAAAGTTTTTTCCCCCCTTGAAATGTAAAGCCTCACCCAAGTCATAGGAAGTAGATATTATCCCCAGTCTACTGATGTGGAAACAGCTTGAACAGCTGAAAAGCCAAGTCACACAGTTACTGGGATCCTTTACGATTAAGCACAATGCCGCATATAAGGCAACAGTTTCTTTTTTCTTTTTAATTTTTTGAGATTATAATTACAACATTTCTCTCCCCCTTCCTTCCCTTCAAACCCTCCCATACACCCCTCTCCACTCTCCTTCAAATTCATGCCTCTTTTTTCCACAAATAGTTATTGCATATCTGTATATACTCCTAACTATAACCTGTTAAGTCTGAATAGTGTTACTCGTCTGTGTGTTTTCAGGGCTGACGGTTTGGCACTGGACAATCAATTACTGTGCTCTTTCCTGGGAAGGACCACCTCTCTTGCTCCCAGCTCTCCTTAGTTGCCGGCAGCTCTTTGTGGAGGGCTGAGGCCTCCTGGGCTTTTCCTGGTCCAGTTTGGCATGTCTGTTGGTGTCCTCCCTGTTCAGCTCACCTCTGGGTTCACGTTGGTGAGACTTTCTGACAATGTACCCTTGCAGATGGATTTGGCCAGAACCTCAACTTCTATTCTCCAGAAGATAAACCCATCTCACAGCCCTCAAGGATCCCCAGACTTGTCAACAATTGAGATTTCCAGTCTGAACCAACAATTTGGTTAACTATCTTCTTTTCTTTGCTTTTTGAGACATGGTCTCACTATGTAGCCCTAGCTGGCCTGGAGATCACTATGTAGACCAGGCTGGCCCAGAACCCAGAGATCTGCCTACCTCCTCTTCCTGAGTGCTGGAATTAAATGTGTGCACCACTATGCCTGGTAAGCACTCTTTTTTCTAAGCTGGTGGTTTTAACTCTCCTATAAAAGTGGGAGGGGGAATGAGTTCCTGAATGAAGAAAAGGGGTGACTACCATACAAAAGGCCATGTCTTTGTTTCTGAATTCATCCTTGGTGCTCTGTGCTGGGCACAGCATCTACAGGAAGCAACAGCACAAGAAGTTCCACTCTCCATCAACAGACTCACCCCTGCTTTTGAATTTGTTTATTTTAGTTGCTGAGCATTGAGCCCAGAGCCTCATGCTGTACAGCTGAGCCATACCCACAATACTGGCCCTCTTTTAAAACCATGTAAGTTCACCTGTACTTGTCCTGCATGGAGAAAGCCTTTATAATTGTACTGCAGAGGCATGTTCACAGTCCTTCCCCCTCTGTGGTCTCTGCTCTGAGCCAGCCTGAGTGTGGCATACCATCTGCTTTCCCCCTGCCACCCCTCCATCCCTCTACTCAGTGTCATTAGAATTGTTTTTATTTATGCTTCACTATTACTCAATTTTGTAGCATTCCTGAACATACCATTCTAGGCACCGTAGTGAATGTACCATGCAAAGATAATTATAATAGTCAAGATTCTCGGGCCAACAGTTCTAATTTAATCTACACAACACTGAACGGATTATACAAGTGACTAAGTATCTTAGGACTTCAATCCAAGAGATAAGCACAAACTTATGTTTACAAAAAACACTTGCCAATATCTTTATATCAAAATTAAGACCCACTAAAGATTAAGTTGAACTTACATATACACACAGGAAAGAGTGGAAGATATAATGGATGCTGCAAAGCATCAGTGACACATTCTAAAAGATGAAAAGAAAACATTAAGAGCCACGAAACTTTGAGAAGTAAAGGCGTCGAAAAGTGCATGTTTCCTTTAGAGATGTGAGGCCATGATGCCGCCTTTAAGAACTGGGTTTCTCCCGGGGACCACTGATCCACTTTCACTTATCATGGGGAGCTGATCAGAAGTAGACAAGGGAGTTTCCTTGATAGATTCCAGCAAAATGACTCCCCGTGGAGGATGGGGTTGGTGCCAACATCCACAGCTGCAAGAAGCTGTTTATTGGGGAGAAACTTGGCCTGTTTAGTAATGCTGGCCCAAGACCACACTTAAAGTCATATACTTTAGTATATGTGTGTATACACATACATATACACATATGTGTAAAATGACACATATGTTATTGAATATGAACATATTTTCAAATGCTTTTTATAAACACTTAAAAACAACAATCCCCCAAAAACCTCTACATATGAATTTATACTTATGAATCTTTTTAAAAAAATTATTTATTTTTATTTTATGTGCATTAGTGTTTTTCATTGCATGTATATCTGTGTGAGGGTATCAGGTCCCCTGGAACTGGAGTTACAGACAGGTGTGAGCTGCCATGTGGGTGCTGGGAATTGAACTCAGGTCCTCTGGAAGAGCAGTCAGTGCTCTTAACCGCTGAGCCATCTCTCCAGCCCTATACTTATGAATCTTATCAGGAGGCTAAGTTGAGGAAGTTGAAATAACTGTGAAACTCAAATTTGGATTACACTGAATGTGACTCCTGACTTAACTTCCAGAAACCAGATGAGTCACTTCTGTCCCCTTCAGAAGCCTGCCATATTGCTTCTTTGGACAGTTGTCTTGTCCTAGGAGTGTTAGGAAAGGTGTGTCTAGCATGGTCTCTTACGACGACTCTAAGACTTTTTGCAGATGTTGAGCTACATCTATCACTTGGGTTGCTGATGTTGCTGAAAACCTGCTGCATTTAGATATTACTAGAATGGTGGAAGTCTATTTGGGCACCAACGTTCAGATTTAAGACTGTCTAGCTTTATGCATAGGAAAATGAGTGTTTAAGGAAAACAGAACTGCAGTCTCAAGCAGTGGTTCCTAGACTTGTGGTCTATCAGATGCACCCCAGAGGTTTCAACTTCATGGGAAACAGAAATCCAAGTGTAGACGTCAGAATTTGCATGCTCCAGGTGATTCTACATACCAGATATAAGTGACTGAAAGCATGCAAAAATTACTGGTGTCGAACAGGCCTCAACCTCATGCCTGCTTTACAGGGCTACATCCAAATGGGAAATGGTTCCAACATGGCACAGTCATGTGAGAACTGGCCAAATGTGAGGCTACACAGCTAGATTTTTCGGGAGCAAGATTCAATTCATTTTAAATAAGACAGTTAATGTAATGCAGTGGACAGAGGTTTTTCCTGGACTCTTCTTTTCTTGGAAGGCACATGCTGTGCCTACTACTCATTCTGTGCAGTTATGTGTGGTACAGTGTAATGCCAGCTACATAAAGCTGGTGAGTGGTGGCAGCTCATGATCAGGACTAGCCATTATTGCCAGAGAGGGAAACTATAATAAATGTTGAGAGTTTGGCAGTTGGAATTGGCAGACAGTCATGTTTTTATAGGCAGGATCTATGAATCTTTAAGAGATTTTTACCCCACTGGGGATTCACATTGGGAAAAAGTCACCTGGTCTACAACATTCCCCACGTGAACAGCCAGTCTGCCCTGACCGTCACAGAAAGTTAAGTCCTCACAGTTGGCACAAAGGCTCTGAGCAGACACTGGCAGATGGTGGCAGCAGG